GCGCTGTGCTGGGCACCAGCGCCGCTGTCTGCGCCGGCTAACGCGGGAGACCGCGCATCCCGGCCTTTTGCGCGCGTGCTAGGCGGGCGTGCGGTGCCTTGGCACGGCTAGCGTGTGCGCATCGCACTAACGTGTGCGTGCGGGCGCCACGCCGCAATTGCAACTGCACATGTGGGGCTGGGGTAGCTGCGCGGTAGCGGGGAGCGTCTGCGGCGGACCGCCTGGAGCCCCGTAAATAACTCCCACTTTCACTAACTATAGACCTTAATCCGTGGGGGAGGGGTCTCTTGGATTGCTGTTGGAGGAGGTGGGGTTGTCTCCTTTTTGAAGCGCAAGTGTCGCAGGCAGCCTTTTTATTTGCAAGACTGTTGGTAGATTCGGATTGAGTCCAGTCCGCCTAGATCCTTTAATTTCCCAGTTGTTTTCATTTAAATGTTATCCCCCACCCTCCCGCTTTTTAAAGATAAATCCCAGTAATGCATTTGTTTTCTCTTGCATTGCAGATGTAGGAATGCGGGTCGGAACAGAATATCAAGCTCGCATCCCTGACTTTGATCCTGGTAAATAGCTTTTGTACTATAACCTGACATCTTGCTGCTGTTTTGAAAATAGGAGTTAATATTATGATTTAGAATAGCGAGGTCTGCCCGTGTGTTTCACTTGGATACTATGTGAGTGTATTGCATTTGCAAAGGTTAAAGTGGCTTTTTTTATTTAGGCTTTGTGTTTGTTGTTATATGTCAGTCACAGGAGCATTGCAGGGGCAGCATCTGGTCTGTGTGAGCTGAGGGGAAAGCTATGTTTAATTTACCAAGACTGTCAGGGCTACAGACAAAGCCCTTAGTGTCTCTGCCTATTCTAGATAGGAGGTACAGGTTGTAAAGAGGAATAAAAAACATTTTTGCTTTATGATTCTCTTAATACAGTATCTATTGAGGTGGTTTGGGAGGGGTTCCATCTTTGCAGTAACAGTGGATACCTAGTTCTAGTACCTTTTAAAAATGTAGACTCCTATGTCTGGGTTTTCAAGCACCTTGTTGTGTAAGGTGGAGGAGTAGTGTCAATAGCTCTGCTATTGCAGACTAGCTTCTCTTACCCAAACAGTGGATGGGGGGGGGGGAGAAGAAAGGGTTATTGGCTAAACACATGCATTTTTGATATTTGGTCTTAATAAGCTAAACATCACTCACTTATTTCATGTACATTTATAGTAATAATATGTTAAGCGCATCTGTCAGTCCTGCTGTGGGTGGTCACAGTGAAGCCTGTCTACTTTCCTGTTCTCCAAACAGGCTCCATTGGTGTCAGATGATTCCTGCCGGGAAGAGGATTGGGCCAGAGCTCCTCCCATGGTGCCTCCCAAGTTGGAGCTTCTGTCGATGGGAACTAGTTGCCCTTAAATTATTTTGTCTTAGGGGTTGGTACATTCCTTAGGAATTTTGGGGATATAAAGAGCTTTCCTCTGGAAACTAGTATCTTGTTTTGTACCTCAGGTTTCTATTCTATTCTATTTTGTACCTCAAGTGTTAATAAATAGTATTATGGTTAGAGGTTATTATTTTTAAATGAGTAAGTCTAAACATGTTTGTTTTAATAGACAAAAATGATCACCCTGAAATGTAGACTAGCTCTGTTCAGGATACAGACCACCTCGAGGAAGGGTGGGGAATCTCAAGCCTGGAGACTGGATCCAGTCCTCAAGGCTCCCTACTTCCCCCCAGTATTGGGGAGCCTTTGATGGTGCTCCAGCCCCCATGGGGTTAGAGCACACAATATCTACTAGTCTTGGCTCACGTAGGCTCTGGTATGATAGTGAAATGTGGAAAGTGTCTTTTTCCTTGGGGGCCACATTAGTGAGGGATTGTTCTGGGTTTTTTTCTTTTCACTTGTTTGCGGCCCCCGAGTAATTTTTTTTCTGTGGGTTGGCGGCCCTTGACCCAAAAAAGGTTCTCTAGCCCTGACCTAGAGTAACAATGTTTAGCCGTTTTTTAATGCTTTAAGTAACAGAACAGAATAGTGAAAAGACAGCATTTTCCAGTTTTCATAGAACAAAATCATTCAACTCTGCAATTATTTTTTTCTCTTAAACACTATATATATTATGTATACATGCAGTAGAATTAAAATTAATAGCATAAAATTGATTTGTATGCATTTAGGAGCTTAAGTGGATGGGAGTCATTTTAGAAGTAATCTCTGAAAACAATTGCTGTTGAAATAGGGAGCAAGTTAAGTGCTACATATTTTGACTTGTTTTTATAATCCAAACATACTGTAGGATTGTGCATGCATATTCCTGCCTCTTATGTAGAAGTTATAGACAAAGTGACTTAATTTATATCTACTTACAGAAAATGTCACCAGAAGAACTGTAATTCTGTTTTTTCTAAGCTAGTACAGGTTGAACTTCTCTCATCCAGGACTCCCTGGTCGGGCAACATTGGTGGTCCAGTAGGACCACTGATGTTGCTAGACCAGAGAGCTCTGGTCACAGAGTTTGAGAACGGCTGGGTATGGATCCAGTGTAGTCTGTACAGTCTGCTGGAGCAGTGACCTGGGGGTAGCGAGCCCTGGGAGCAGCTGCCAGCCTCTTCTGGTGTTCCCCAACCCTGGCCCTGTGTGACGGAAGCTGCTCTCAAGGCTCCCTGGCCCTCCTGTGTGAGGTCAGGGAAACCTGGGAGCAGCTGCTGCGGTGTGAGACTGGGGGCAAGGAGCAAAGCCCTGGGAGCAGGCTGGGGGCAGCAGACCTAGGCAGGTGAGCCACAGGAGGTCAGGCCTCTGAGTTCTCCTGGGGAAGTAGCTAAGAAGGGAGCCACCAGAGAGCCCGGATGCATGATTTCCCCTTGTCTGGCAAATTCCCTTGTTTGGGACCACTCCGATCCAAAGGGTGCCAGACCAGGGAGATTCAACCTGTAATAGAAATCTTTATAAATATCTCTTGCCTTCCCATGAATTGTAAGAATAAGTGTAACCTATA